AGAGGATGAGGAGGAAGAGCTCAAGTAGCTCTACTACCATTATCACTACTACTACTATTCTTACCTTAGTTGGATTATGGCCAACTACTGCTGCTGCAGTTATACATTGTGCTAATAATCTAGGTGATAGATGCATTATATGGTGTGGTATACGTCGTATAAGGGAACGGAAAGTCCCTAAGTAATAATATTACTACTATTATTATTAAACCATTATCATCTTCACATTACTCCTATCTGATGTCTCTAAATAGGCCAATACACGTAATGCTCGAGCAACATATCTATAATAATAATGATGATTGTTATGATTTTGTTATTATTACTTGCCACTCATAACCTTATGATATTTCCATACTTCGTTACCAAATCTCATAATCATATCAGGATCATCTTCTGCTGGCCATTTTAATATCATATATCTAATTATCATAATACCATACATATATGATGATAGTATTATTATTATTACAATTCAGCAATATCAATAAGATTCCACCAACGATATTCATGTATCCTATGAGGTAGCTCTCGACCTACAACGATCATCACTATTAAAACAACACTATGTTACTCTTCTTCTTCTTGTTGCTGTTGTTACTGATCGTTGTTATTATTACCTAGAACGGTGAAGAACTGCTTATTACCATAACGCATAGATAAAAATGCTCGTACAACGTCACCAATAGCATCTTCATCAAATTCATTAAAGTTGTCCTAAACAACGTTATGTGATCACCATGATCATGATAATCTGTCATTAATAATACTTCTATCTCATCTGTTAGTATATGTAAGAATTCATCATGCTTCTTAACCCTTGTACTAGCAAATGCTAATACAATGTCAGCTAATTCTCGTGGTGATGTTGGTGGTAATGTATTATCGATTAACCATGTATTACACGCATGATCCATAACCGATCTAAGATAACAATAAGCTCATGATAGATAATACTACTACTAGTAGTAGTATTATAACCTAATCCATTGAGGATGATGGATACCGCATCTAGTGTATGCTGTAAATAAAGCCAACAACACCTTGGTATTATTTATTGATGTTGGTTTGATAGCCTAATATAATTATAACCATCACTAATAGAATGATATTACTATTATTACTTGATAAAGTGAGGTCATAAATGGTTGATTAATATAAGCCAATGGTCTACTTAAGAAATATCGTTCAGGATGTGCAGTTCCTAATTGTAATACAACATTCATACATTACCATTCATATCATAATCATCATAATTCTCTTACTATGTATAACCTTTGGTCGTATTCTATCAAATGCAAGTAGTATCTTTATCATGTGGGCATCATTAAGATCAGGTAATCTCTCATTAACTCGTGTTGATATACGTTGAAGGATGATATCATCTATAATAGAAACAACAACAGCATGATGATGATGATTAGGTTGTTGTTGTTGTTGATGATATACATTACCGGGTACTCTTCTACTCCTATTGGATGGATGATGATACTTATAAGCAAATGGTACTGTCTCTGTTACTGCTAATGTAAAGTCATCCATATCAATAGGATCAATATCCCTAAAAGATATTATTAAGATATTGTTATCACACCTACTACCCTGTGGCTATCTTCACTCTATTAGGATGTACCATAATAGGTCTATTCCTTCCCCTGAGCTCTAGAACCATAGATTCCATCTTATCATCCTTTTTGTCTATATGTAATGATGAACCCATATTAGGTAGCTTAGTACTCCATCTTCTCCATGGTGGCATATTAGTGGTATCTATCTTATATCGACGACTCTGAATCAAGTAAGCAACAACAACACGATGATAATAATAATCATTATTATTATACAACTAAACCTACTTCATAGTTCAATCCATCATACTTCATTGAATGATGATAATAGTATCCATATTGTACCATATTACAGCAGCTACTCCTACTACTAGTACCATGTAGTAGGGTATATTGACGAGTATGTGAGGAGGCGGCGACGGCGACGGCCGATACTCTGCTGTTCGTGGCTATTACCATATTGATGATAACTACTACTACTAGTATAATCACGATTAAGATGGTCATACATACAGATATTACACTAATACCCTTATTAAGGAAGAGATAAATGTCAGGTTTATCATTATTAAATGAAAGTATAATACATTGTTGCTTGTGCTTGTTGTTGTTGATGATGATGAGGTACTTTCACCACTTCATCATCATCCCATAAGCAGCAGGTACTACGTGATATACGATAATAATACAAGTATGAACTAATGGTAGATATAGCATCGTGTGCATTAGATGTAATACTATAAGATTTGATGAGTATCTCCTGAATACCCATAGTAGGACCATGTCTTGTTGGAGAAGTGACTAAATAGATATTATCAATAATAAGTAGTGATGTAGTATTATTATTACATGATGATTTATGATGATTATCTATGAATGATACAGACATATGGTGTGTAAGGGGACTATGGTCCATATCTTCATAACCATAATCAGGTAACATCTATACTCATTATAAGACAACTCATCAACTCAAGTATAAGACCATCATTATTACATAGTACGAGCGATATAATAATAATACTGATGATGATGATAGGCTTACAGACACATCCTAATACTCGAGGAGCTGCACCCAGCTGCATATAATACTCATCATCATAATCACCATAGTAAGCAGAAACATAACTGCATCATGATAATCACTCGAGCCTAAATGGTAGTAGCCAAACTGATGATAACGTATTATAAACCCCCCTTTTCATTCTTGAATCTACCGAATCTCCATACCAGCACCATCGTAACTCCGGGTATATACTTCTTAGGATTGACCAGGTACAGTGGATTGAGCATACTTAGCTTTAGAGATCTTAGCAGGACCACCCTTAGCAGGTCCAGAACTATTAGGAACAGTGATATCAGGATTAGGTGCTCGTTCGACAACAGACATGGACACGAAATAATAAAACTATAATGATAAATGGAGTTTATAAGCATGAGCATAAGCGAGAGACGTATTCGATGGTGTAATAACCTATAGCAACTCTAACTTGATACTAATATATACTACCACTTACCGACTACACATAAACAACAACAACAACTCTACATTATCCCCAATATACTACATCTACCTGATATACTACTACCTACTTTTATGTATAGTAATGTGACATGAGTAGATTCAATCATTTAATAAGAATAACAACAACCAAGAATAATAATATGGATACCTGTATAGAGCCTACTAATATTAGAAGACCACTTCTTCTCCTTCTTGTTCATATTGTCCACTTGAAGATTGCGAGTCGGTCGTCGTCTTTACCAAGTATACCATTATTATTAATGTTAGCATAAGGGTTACCTCATGCCTACTCTCAGAAGGATGGTACTAGCAGAATTCTATAGATGTATATACTCATGAGTAGTATTTAATACAAACATTATGCTCCTATTACAACAGCCACCGCCGTCGTATTGTCGTCATAGTACTACTGTATTTAGATGATACATAGAAGAAGAGAAAGGAAGTAAGCAGGATACTACTATTAATAGGAGGTATGTACTGATTGGATGGGGGTAAGAATAAGAACACTAAAGGTGTACTTCTTATTATCTTATCAACAACAACCTATAATAATAATACTAGGTAGATCATCATCATTATGGCTAATACACATTATACGAAGGATATGACTATGTTGTGATGTGATAGATAATAATGACATGAGCTTCGAATTAAAATATTCATTTATCATCATCATGATGATCAATACCTTGTATGACCTAATAATGGTAATAGTAATAGTAGTAGTAGGGTAGCAAGCACTACATAATTAGTATACAACTTAGTGCATTGTTCATAGATAATAAAGGTAAACATAGTCTGTGGTCCCAATCTGGTAAAGTTGACTAACCATCCTTTAAATCTAAGAATTAAACATGCTCAATACTGTGTTGATGCCCAACCTATTATTAATACAATGCCATTATTCCTTCTGTCATTATCAATAGGTGTTAGACTCTTATCCCTTCCTCCTCGATTCGACATAAGCATAGTCTTCAATACATCAAAAGGGGATGTTATCGTAGTTGCTACTATACCCGATATTAATCCTGCTATAATGCTTATCTGGATATTAATAATAATAGGATGATACAATCCCGATATTATTACAGTTGGATCGTTGATATACGGCATATGTATCGAATCCCTCTTATTAGTTATATATGTTTTAAGTGTAGTATATGATATGATCTGTGATGCAGTCAACAATGCTGCACGAATAACAGACATAGATGTTCCTCGCCATAGATTTGTGTATAAGGTACTATACTCCTTCTTATGTTCATGTGATGACGATGATACCTGAATAAACTAATAAAGTAAAATGATAATTACATCATATTACATTGGTCATGATGACATTCATGATGATCATCATTGCATTATCTTTCCTCTGATACCTAGTACTACTAGATTGGAGCCTTACCTTGAGTACTTCTAATGGATTACCAATAATGGCAGCAATAGATCCTGTAGTATAACTACCCTATACTAGTTATAATAACTATATTACCAGATAATAATGCTGCAGTGATGCTTATAAAAGATGATGAGGAAGAGGAGTTCTGAGTGATAGTATTAGTCTCTAGTGTATGATCGTTATCCCTTATTATCCTAGTATATGATTCCAATGCTGTCTTTATAGGAGAGTATCTTGTAGCAATAAGAATACTTCTTGTTAATAGAGTTTCTTCTTGTTGTTATTACAATCCAAGTCTTGCTCCACCATATATAGAAGCTCTAAATAATGCAGGTATACAGCCTTTAAATAAAGCATACATACCACCCTCATTATGGATTATCTAATTATATCACTATACTGCTCATTATTATTAATATAAGTTATCACATCTTTAGTAAGAGTATACACTACTGTTGGAGAGAAGGCTAACTTATTAATGTGTCCACTTTTAACAATGTATCTTGACGACGACGACGACGACGTTATTGCTTGTTGTTGTTGTTGCAATAGTTGTAGACGTACCTTGCTAGTGGTATGTCTCGGAGTAGTATTATTATTACTACCACCTTCACAAGATCTAATGGATGTGTTATTAATGTAGCACATGATACTGATATTGATGATAAGAGTATATGCTCAGTAGTGCTCATTACAGTAGTACATCCCTTATCAATAACAACAAGAGGAGGAGAAGGAGAAGGAGTAGGAGGAGCAATAGTAGATGGCATTATTATTAATAATCATAATAGTCCTTTGATGATAATGGATTGGTAACACATTATGTATTACAACTATGTATTCTAACACATGATATAGCAAGATATATGTGGGACTTCTGGATATTGTTAGTAATGTAGACTCAGTACACACAGATCGCATCAGGTCCCCATGATGATAGTAGCATAAGAGTGAGTAATACCACACCATTATCACATCATCATCATACACTCCAAACAACCATCAACTCCTCCATTTGATCTATGTATAGGAATTATAATGGAATATTATATGCATCTGCATGTATAGGGAGGATGATATCAAGTATATTACATCATCATTATATACTATCGGGTAATGTCTTGTAATACAGTGTGCACTATACATGATAAACTAAGATCTAGGTAACTCGAACAATCTCTATTATGATAGTGAATTCAAACAATCAATATTAACTCAATCCTTACAAGAAAGAGAAACATATTCAAGCAAGCGTCTCCAAAAACATCTGAACAAGAAATGAGATACTTATCGTTGGTAGTAGTAGTTGGTAGTGGTGGTGGGCGTATTATTATTACCTTGGTAACTCGACGTTCCTCATTCTGTGTATCCTCTCTAAGTATCAGATCATGATGAGAGATGTTCAATAAGGGAGTATTATTATTATCAGCCATTAATTGACCATACACTACCTTTGATGAGGATCTTCTACTCTCATCCGCAGCTAATCTCTGATAACAACAGATTAGTCAACAGATTAGTAATAACAATGAATGGTGGTGGTTGTGGTAGTACTAATGTCGGAGTAGTTGAATGTGGCTTACATCTAGCCACATTATACGCCGTTTTGATGCACTTGATTCCTCCTTATGTGTGATAGGATTGAGTCCATATCCTCCTGACTTCTCCATAGTATGACCTCTTCGTTGCTCTTCCTAATGATGATATTAATACACTTAGTGAGCAGTAGATATATTGTCGTACTTGTGGTGATGATGATGGTGGTGGTTGTATACCTAATTCTGGTACTGATAGATCATTAGGATCAACTTCAGGTATTGGTGATTTTATTATTTTCTCAATCTCTTTAACTGTCTTCCATTCATCAAACCATATGGTACCTAATTATATCAATACCATATACTTATAATCATAATCATCATTTGCATTATTACATCCACCATCTTTAACAAGTCGTGTATCAGTACATCCTCTACCTCTAGGTTTATTGCATTTATGGAACCATACTCTCTCTCTAACCTCATCAGCAGCTACTATACCAATAGCAAGTCCCATGTGACCTGCCCGACCAACTCGTCCAATCCTATGAATATATCTAAATAATAATTACATGATAATATATGCAATAATAATAATAATAGAATATTACGTTTCAGCATCATCATATGGAGGTAAAGTAAGCATTATTTCAAAGGGTAATCCTGATATATCAATACCACGAGCAGCAACATCAGTGCATATGAGGAACCTATCATAATGATCATGATGATCAATACACCAACCTCAATTCTACTACTACTACCATTATAAGCACTTGTATTACCTTATAACTCCTTGTTTAAACGCCTCCAATGCTTCTTGATTATGTTGTCTTCCTCTTGCTCCAGCTACTACACAACAACTATACCTATATATAGATCATCATGAGTGGATTATGATGATGAAGATGATACTACTGATAACCAGCAGTAGATGTCATCATATCTTCAACACTCACATGACGATTTCTGAATAACAAAATTATATGATAAAATAACTGAATAAGTATACTTACGATGATATACCATCAAGTGAATGAAAATATGCTTCTAGATTATCACAATCTAGATTAGTACGACAAAATACCATACATCTATCCATCTTATAGGCATCAGCTATCTACAATAATAAGTCTTATGATGATCATCAACATAATAATAATAGGCATCATCATTACTTTAACAGCAATCTTAGGTTTCTTAAGCTTTATCTCTTCAGATGGCAAACCAATTGTATTATCCAATGCATATATACCATCTGAGATACTAATTATGATGATGAGGCTGTTGTTGTTATTATAAGAATAATGAGTATGTTTATATAGTCCTGTCATTACCTGTTGGAACTGGAGCATTTGGATTCCTACATTCACCACAAACACCTTTCTTCTTTAACTTAATATCATCATTAGGATGTATACGATAAATCGCATGATGTACAGTATCAGGTAGAACATTACCAAGTATACTCCCTCTAGTATCAACCCATTGAGCATTTACTGTTAGTAATTTAATCATATCTTGTACCTCTTCACTTGCTAACGTAGCACTTGTTAATACTACTTGAACTCTCATCATCATCGATGTAGGCCCATGTAGGTGATCACCATGGGTTTTGATGTCATCACCTATGTTAACATCATGAATAGATAGGTGGCAGCACTAGGAGTATACATAGTTTAGCAAGTATCTTATCTTGATCATTCTTAATAAGATCATCAGCTTCATCAAGTATTAATATGAATACTCTAGATAGATCTAATTGACCCCTATGTATCTACGAGTATTGATAATAATAATGATAACAACTGCAACTTGAGCATCATTATCACAGAGTTCTTTATCTTTTGTGGTGTACCAACAACAATATCAGGTTGAACTCCTTTTGGTCCTCTAACATCAGCGGCATATAAATGTATATTAATAGATGGTTCTAGATCCCTACACAACGATGATGAGTTCATTGCTGATCTGTAATGATAATGATGTTCTATTACTTAGAATATTCCCTCATACATTTACAAGTCTGTTCACATAAAGGTATTGTTGGTTCCAATACTATACAATAAGGTGAGGGTATAACATTCTTGCTATTCTGACGACCAGGATCATCATCGTGGACACCGGATTTATCTGCATTATTATTATAATGACCACGAATGAATAGTAGTAGTAGTAGGATGATAATATTACTTCTTTGTTCATATATCTCCTGTAATGATGCCAAACCAAATGCAGCTGTTTTACCAGTACCAGTCTCAGCACATATACATACATCACCACCACCTATCATCACAATACTAGTAGTAGGTATAGATGATAGTGATATTAGTAGTTTTATTATTATTACCGAGTATTAGAGGTACAGCTTCAGCTTGTACGGGAGTAGGTAATGTCCAATCTAGGTCTTCGACTGCACATATGATAGAAGGATGAAGACCAAACTCCTCGAATGCTGACATTATTTAAACTACGCAGATTATTAAGCTACTAAGATAAGATGCCTTTAATAAGTATATAGACATACCCTTTGGTGGTAGGCATCAACGCTACCTACTATGTTCATAAGAGTATTACTACTTATAACAAGACATGATAATGTTGACAAATATTGAGTAACAACCAAGAGGTAGTAGAGAGATGTTATGATGAAGATAACACTTAAGTAAATGATCTATTCGTAACTACTACTATCAACTTTTGTATTATCATCATAATCAATCATCAGAAACGGCTGTTTCTGTAGTTGCTGCTGGTGATGATGCATATAGTTTAGTTTCTAGTGGTACAAATGGTAAATATTGATCCCATTGTATAGGTATATCACGACACGATTGAATAGATGGTGGTAACTCTATAACATCATATTCTGATTCTGTATGTATATCCATACACTTATATGTTTTCGTGTTCATCAATGTATTGCTATCATCATCGTAGATAAACCTGATATCATAATATTATAATGAGAAGGCTTATAAGATTATGAATATAAAGACTATCTTATAAGTAGTACTAGACGATCCTATATTACTGTTGCCCTATATTATATTCTTCTTCACCATAACATAAATAGAGTATTGGTGTATTACCATCAGCAGCATCAATACATTGTCCAAGAGCAACATTACCTATAATAATATACTAGTACCAGTATTACATGATTCACCCATTATTATTACGTATTTGTATTTTATGTATCCATTGCCACTGTTGCCTCGTATCAGTAGGATCACATTCAACTACACTCAATGTTTGTTGCCCTTCAACAAT